TCCAGCCCCTGAGAAGCCCCGAAAAGCCTCCCCCCCATCATCAAGACCCCCCCTCGGCCCTCAACTCTCCCAGGAGAGTCGTCACAACGACATCTCCCTGGACCTGAAGAAAGACATCATCTCAGAACTGGAAACAAAGATCGAGAGTGGTCTGATGGCCCTGAAAATCCCCGAAGATTCGAAGAAAATTGTAAATAAATCGAGTCCTCGACTGGCCCCAGTGGACAACACCCTCTCCAACTTCACGATCACGACGTATTCGAACCAGAAGAGCCCCAACATCTACGAGAGCCCAGAGGACAGTGACAAGGTCTTCCCCGAGGCCTCTGAGGAGAGAATCGTGAAGACGTTTGCGACCCTCTCACGTAATCGATCGCTCTTCAATAAAGAACCTGTTGCTGTCAGTTCTAAAACTGATAAAAATGTGGGGATCGAGAGCAGGGGGATGATGAGAGCGCAGAGTGTCCAAGAAATGGACTCGAAGGAGGACGAGGTGAAGCTCCCAAGTCTGAAGGCAGTCGAGAGATCCAGCGTGACCCTCAGACCGAGAGACGAGAAATCATCGGTGCACAGGTCCAAGAGCTACATCGTCCTGTCGAATAATTCCAAGTACAGAGATGAGAAGAAACCGGTTGATGTTGTTGACAATATGTTCAAGTCCACGAGCTACACGAATTTAAATCAGGACGACGAGTTGCAGTCTGTTCAGGTCCTCAAGAGCATTCTCCCACATCTGAAGAAGTCGACTCTTCCGGAGGAGAAAATTGAGAGGAGTTCTGAGAAGCCTGATGAGTCTAGACGATACAAATGGGCTGGACCACCTGCGATATCCCTGGGGAGCTGGTCGGAGCGACCTTCCATCAATGTTCAGATCAAGCATGACACGGATTACAAATTCGGGAGGAGTAATCAGACTGGGGGAAAGACTGTCGTCAATCTTAATTCCAGTGGCAATGGGGTGGAGGTAAACTACGAGAGGGCCACGAAGATTTTACCAAAGAAATCGTTTGCTCATGATAAGTTAAACTTCACGAATAATGAGGTGGAAGTACTTTCGAAGAAGGAGGTACAGGAGGTCAAGGGTAATTGCAACGAGAGAACGAACATCTTCCAGGAGAATTTATCGAAGAATCTGGGGAAGCGAGTCTTTTCGAATGGAAAAATCGAGGAAAGTCCGGGTGTCAAGGAGTCGTCGAAGGGGATTCGTAATGATGAAGATGTTAAAATCGATACGAGACCGGTGAACTTCAAGGAATTGACTCAGGCTTTTGGGCAGGTGAATCTTCGAAGCAGATCGAAGTTCAGTCAGAACGCCCAGAATCGTCATTCAGACTATTTCGATTCTCGTCAGGAGATTGATTTCAAGGAGCCAGTGAAGACCAGTGACTGGCCCAAGGTCAAACGATACACATCGGTCATTGGGATCAACCCCCAGATGAATTCTAATGGATTCAAGAACGAGATCATGAAGATGAATGTTTCATCAAAGGGGAATGGGCTCATGCCAGTTGTCAAGGGGTTTAAGATGCAGAAGGACTTCCAGAGTGAATTGAATTCACATAATTCGGTGGAGAAATTTACGGTGCCTCCACCACCTACTATGCCAGTAATAACGGGGGTCACGTTGAAGAGCTCCAAGCCCAGGCCCAAGTCGACGAATATCTGTCAAGAGCCCAGGGATCAACTCTTCGAGTCCATCAGAAATTTTGGGAGGGAGAAGCTGAGAAGTGTCAGCAGTGTCTCTTAAGAATTCTTGTTCCAGTTTGTTTTCTTGTTCTTCTGGGGTTTCCTGCTTTGGAAATCGCGAGGAAGCTTCTTATTTTAGTTTGAGATGTTTGAGGATTCTTCTATTTGGGAGATTGTTGGTTTTTCCATTCGTGTTTGATGGCAGTGAGGCAGATGTTGCAGAAATTTGTTTAGGAAAATTAGGTTTTTGGCGGAAATAGTGGAGAAGAAATTAACACTTTTGGCTTTTTTGCAATTATTGTTCATAAAACAACATGACCTAGATTCATTATGATTTATTATGAGTCTAGAGCCGTTACGAAGTGAAAATAGTTAAATTTAAAAAAAGTCAAAAGTTTCCACTGATTGAATGTAACACTTCTCACTCGATTTTTATGCACTTGGGCTCAGTTTATTCGCTAAAATATTCTCCATCAATTTCGAACGATTTTTTTAATGAGGAAAAAGTATAGCTATTCGTTCAATAGTTCGTTAGTTTTTTCACGTGAAAGTTCTTCCGTAAAAATAGAGCCACAAAGAAATGAAAAAAATCATTCATTAATTCAATAGAGAATGTTTCGACATAAAAAATGATCCCAATTACATTGAAATCGGATAGAAAGTGTGACTGGAATGGAGTTCTATGGAGAGAATTCTTGATAGTTTTCTTCAATGAACTGCAGTGAAGATTCGTTAAATCCATAAATTTCGTCGTTGCTGCATTCAACTGAATTCCACCGTCAACTGGAATTTGCAGATTTTTGTGGTGAAAAAAAATCAAAACTGTAATTTTCTGAGATTTATTTCATTGCAGACTGCCTCACCTGGATGTTGTTAATGCTTGATGATGGAGATTGATGAGAAAATCGAAAAAAAAAGGGATTATACAAGTGCATATTCCAAGATGACCTGAGATTGATGGTTGAAACCAGTGGGATTCGAAAGCTACGGAGGTTTTTTTGTGAAAAATATCTCACGCGACTTTTTCTTTCTTCAATAATCGAGAAGAAATGACAAGATGTTCTGCAGGCTCCAGTGGCTTCAGAGTTTTCTAATTCCGTATCGAGATGTTGGAGGAAAAAATGATGAATTCATTCTCAATTCATCAGTATCTCACGATATCCGAGAATATCGAACCGATTTTTCTCATTTATCTTCATTCGGCATAATTGCTAAACCAGAATTTCATTGATGTTTCCAGTTTCTGAAGTGTAAATACTTATTTTGTTACGAGAATATTCGGAGGTGCTACAACAAGGAAATTAATCATTAACAATCCTAGGGTTCAATCATCAAATCCACATTTTTGATCGGATTAATTCAGTTTAATTCTCACTTGTAAAATTGAGGAAATCGTGAATCCCATCAAACAAAACAATTGATTTATAAAACTTAATTAATTCCTTTTGTTCATGAATTGAAGCAATTGAAATTGATGAGCTTCAGTGGATTTATAATTACCCTCCGGAAAATCCACGAAAATTCATTGAAGACGTTTTTTGTCAGTCTATTCTATAAAAAAATGAAGAACAATTCTATCTGTTCAATTCTAATTTATAAAAAACTGAATTAATTATTCTTGTTCATGAATTAATCCTGTTAATTGATAACCAACTCAATGGCTTTAGTTTCATTCAATTCAAATTGATGAGCTTCAGTGAATTTACAATTACCCCTCGGAAGACCCACGAAAAATCGTTAAAGACGTTTTTTGTTAGTCCTTTGTATAAAAACAATTATTTAGTTTTATGTCTAGTATACAGTATTCGTAATTGCTCACTTGCAGGCTAATGCTTACCCCAAGTTAATTGGTTTTTATTCATGTGAAATTCCGTTTGATCCTTTGGTTACAGTTTTTTTACGTTACATAAATACCAAAGTTGGTACAAACGGATAGATAATTAATCAATTAATGAATTAACCATTGAGAATGATGAGGAATTGTGTAGAAGAACGGGACCAAAGGTTTACTATTAATTAATGAATAGTTATTTTATATTAATTACAACGTTAACTTAAGGAAATCAGAGTTAAGTGAGAGTAAGTTTTTTAGGATGAATTAAATATTATGGAGGAAAGAGAAATAGTGCCTTGTAAAAATGCTGGTCAGTCGAGTGATATCAAAACTAAAGATGTAATAAAATTACGAAAATCGAAGTGTTAAGAAATTTATTGAAATTAGTCGAGTGAATGGACGATTGAGGTTAATTGCGAAAGTAGAGTTATTAGGGTTCATTATTCGATTGTTAATTGATTCGATCAGTTCAGGGGGATTTATTGGAGAATATTTTCTTCAAGGAATGTACATAATGTTATTTTAAGGCAGTCTATGCTGTTAGCACCAATGTTCATTGAGTTTAATACTTTCGAGCGTATTTACATCGAGTTAGGGTCCAATGGATGTGTATAATCTATGTATTTATTTGTTTCAATGTGTATTAAAATTATTCGATAATTATTTATGGTTTATTTTGTTCATTTAATGTTTTAACAGGTGGAAAAAAGATTTATCTTCATTGTCTTCGCGTTTTTTACAGCACATTGGATCAACTTTATCACGTCTTTCATGATTATGATTTCTTTTTAATTATCAGGGGTTTATTGCTTTATCCCTGATAAATTGCTGTTGAAAAATAGAAAAAAAGGAATTTTTCTTTGATATTTTTCGTGGTCATTGTGTCAAAAGCATAAACAAGGGCTCAAATGCACAAAAATTCTGAAGAAATTGGAGTTCTAGAGGAATCTATTGTCAATTTTGCTGAATTTGGTTTTTTTAGATTAATTTGAAAGAATTGAGTTTTTTTGTCAGAAAATAGAATTTTGAATGAATGCTATTCTTTTCTATTCTATTCAATTCATAAAATTGTCAATAGCACAAGATTTTGAAGCACCGACTCAAGTCAATGGCAACAAGTCGAAACTCAACTAAGAATCACATGAATACTGGAGTTAATGTACAATAAGTTAGTTGGAGAGTAAATAAACCATAGAATGAGCTTTTCCAAATATTAAATTATGAGTCTCTACACATAATCTTAAATATTTTTATTGCCGTTGAAAATCAAGAGCATAAACAGAGAAATTGGTTTTCTAAAGAAATCCAATGTCAATTTTTCCTTAATTTGAATTAATTTTTAAAGTGATTGGAAATAATTTGTTTTCTCGTCAGAAAATAATTTTTTAAATTAATTCTATTCTTCTCTATTCTGTCCACTTTATAAAATTTTCAATAGCACAAGATTCTGAAGCACCGACTCAATCCATCAATGGCAACAAGTTGAAACTCAACTAAGAGTTACGTGAATACTGGAATTAATGTACAATAAGTTAGTTGGAGAGTAAATAAACCATAGAATGAGCTTTCCTAAATATTAAATTACGAGTCTCTACTCCTAATCTTAAATAGCATTTTTATTGCCGTTGAAAATCACAGTTGGAAGGAGAGAAGTTGAAGAGTTCTTAGTCCTCTGGAATTGGCGTGTTGCAGTTGCCATGCCATATCTTCGCTTCTGAGTCACATCTCGAATAGTTATCGAATACGTCAGCGTATCCACGATCTCTCCACCACGTGCACAATTGTCGGTTCCATCCGCAATCGACGGTATGGATTAATTCAGGTCTCTCCATGCCAAGTAGAGTATAAAAATCTTGATCTCCCAAATGGCCCTGGAATCGCAATCATCTTTTAACTTTGACTTCACGGCATTAAAACAAACATTTTAAGCTATGATCGAATTCATTTGAAGCATGATATCTAAAGTTGTCCCCGAAATTCCGATTTTCAAAAAATACAAAATGCGATACATCGCATTTGATTTTGTTATTTTTTTAAATGTTTTTGTACATTAAAATAAAAAATCCAATGAATCCACCATTCATTCATCTTTTATGAATTCATTTATGGATTAAATGGATTAAATGAATCCATTTAATCCATTGCATGGATTAAAGTGTCCATTCTACCCCACCTCCCCTACGATAAATCAAAATAACGTGCAGTGAACTCAGCCTTGAAAAACCCCACCTTAAAGCTATACTTCTCAGTCATATGCTCCACCATGTCCTCGCTGACAATCTGGTCGTATTCCAGCGAGTTCCTGAGCCTCTCAAGATGAAACAGCACCACTCCACTATTGTACCCAGGATACCCCCCACCTCCAAAAGCCTCTCCGAACCGAGTCTCCGGGTTCTTGCTCCTGTACAGATACAGAACGTGTCTGTAAACAGGTGTCAGCTCCGGGGAGAGTCCAAAAAGGGCAGTGTCCCCGAACCCCTCAAACTCCCTGAACAGCAGTTTCACATCCTTCCTGAGTTTCGTGTCGACATCCAGCATGACAGCGAACTTCTGCTGTGGGGAGGCGATCCTGTGGAGCCCCAGGGAGAGAAAAAACAGTGCATCAGAGTAGTAAGTCCCTGGTTTGCTACTGAACTTTGGGGACATGACCTCGACAATGTCCTCCAGCTGATGTGCCAGCTTGTGCACATCGTAATATTGCACGTTTATGGTTTTGTTCAGCTTCAAGGAGTTCAGCTTGATGACATCGTCCGCAATCACCTGGCTGTCGTCGTCGCTGATGAGGTGAAACGTCAGGTCAACAGTCGAGTGCCTCATCAAGGACTCTGTGAAGATCCTGAACTTCCGCCTCATGGGGGAGTTCGTCGTCACCTTGGTGAAGATGCTCCAGACATTGTAGTAGCTGTCCCTGGGGGGCTGTGGGGACTTGGCAGGGGGTGGCGATGTCACTGATGTATTTTGGGGGATTTTGCTCAGGGGGGAGGTCTGGGGGTCCTCCGGCGGAGCATTCCGACTCACCAGGTGGCTCGTCCAGACGTTGGACGTCTGCAGGCAGTACAGGAGCAGTATCACGACCCCCAGAACTGTCAGTTTCACCAGGATGTGGCGTGATGAACGCATTTAACTACTTCATCATTCGACATCACAATATTGCACTCTCGGTGGGTGGGTTCACGATTTTTCACTGCATTTTTTGTTTGGGAATTAGTGTTCGGGGGAAGGTGAGGGAGTTGTTGATTTGTGGGCTGGGCGCCATCTTTAATGCTGATTTTAGAGAAGTGTCGTGCGCCACTCCGGCGGCCAGGGGGGGGATATGATTTTTTTTTTGGGCTCAAATGAAAGAGCGGGTCGAGAAATGGCGTGGTAATGTCTCTAAACATGACAAATGTCTCTAAAGCTGATGTCTGTTTTGAATTGAAAAGCAGAGTTGTGACTACATTGTCTAGTGGGGTCTAGGAGTCATTAGCACGCCATTTCTCGACCCAGAAAAAGTCGCCAGCAATTTTCAACAGAGTGTGAGGCTCAGTCGTTGACTCAAAATCAAACATTGAAATCTTTCTTTTAAAATTCCACTAATTACTCGTCGATAAAATTATATAAATTCACAGCGAGTTCATTTGCGTTTTCAATTTTATTAAACCCTTCAATGATATTAGATAGAATTGTTCTATTTTCTTCTGACTTAAATCATTTGGACAATTATTATTCGTTTATTCGTGTTTCATAGAATGGTATTCAATTCTCCTTTGTTTGTTAGACGGGCTTCATGAAAATTCGACGCAAGACGATTGTATTCATGAAAACCGCCTCATTTACGATTCGAGATATTGCCCTTTTATACAGAGAATAAGGGAGGAATCTCCATTATCGATCAACAGTCACACTCAATTCCATGTGGAGCAGTGGAGATCTCTCTCAAGATATCGCCATTGTTCGTAATACTCCAAACAGCCAAACACAGGGGAACAGAACCGAAACCGAACTCGAGTAGTGAACAGACAAGCTCATATACCTGTATTCAACTGTTTGTGGTTATACCCGGAACATTTTTTTTAATCTTTAAGATAAAATATATATTTTTATGCCGATAAACTCACACAAATTGCGATTATTTATTACTGATAAAAACCTAGTTTTAACGAGGGAGAACAATGGGGGTACCAAAGTTCACGCGATTTATTTGTGAGAGGTATCCCTGCCTCTTGGAGGTGTTGAACGACTATCAGGTAGGACAATGAAGCCAAATCTCTGGAGATTTGTGAGAAAATCTTTACAATCTCCGTTCGATCCCCCTGAGCACGTGATTATCCCCAAAATCGTCGACCTCTCTCTCTCTCTCTCTCTCTGAATCAAAAATTACTGACAAATGAGTGGACTTTTTTTTTCATCATCTCACATGCTCTCGTGCAGCTTCAGCATCACTCCAGATGTTAATTACGACTCTTGTTCGTTTGTTTACAGATCCCAGAGTTTGATAACTTATATTTAGATATGAATGGCATTATTCACTGCTGTTCACATCCCAATGATGCTGATGCACATTTTCGAATAACTGAAGAGACTATTTTTAAGAATATATTCCTCTACGTGGAGATACTATTCCGCACGATAAAGCCACAGAAGTTGTTCTTCATGGCTGTTGATGGGGTTGCACCACGTGCCAAAATTAATCAGCAGAGGAGTAGGAGGTTTAAGTCGGCTAAAGCGGCTGAGGTTGTCGAGGCTAGGGCACGTGCCAAGGGTGAAGTACTACCGGAGGAGGCCAGGTTCGACTCCAATTGTATCACTCCTGGAACTGAGTTCATGGCTAAATTGACTGAACAGCTGAGGTATTTTGTTATTTACAAGATATCCACTGACAAGTTGTGGCAGAAGTGCAAAATTATCTTGAGTGGACCTGAGGTAAATATGAATTTCTCTTCGGAATTGTGAGGTTTTTCTGGATTTTTTGTCTGCTCTTGTGGCTGTTTGTTCATTTAGTGAGTTGGGGTGATTGTTTTTCAATTCGTTTGATGGTTTTGCTCATTCATTCGCGTGGATTGTAACAGATTATAAGGAGTTAGTTGAGCTCATCGTAATTGGGTAGTACATCTGAGAATTCATGATGATGAATTAATGAGGATCGGTCCATTCTTCATTAATTGCAGTCGGACGAAATGTAATGGGGGATATTCACGTATTTTGGTTTTGTTTTGGTGTAATTGAACATCAGAATTTTATTTGAGCTTATTAAATACTGAACAAATTGATTAATTAGTTGGGCATTAGGGGATAGCAGTTTTGCTAGACATGCGCGAATGTGAAGATCCTTTTCTCCCTCTGACATTGCAATTTAATTTATGAATACTTTGGCTATTTTTTTCCAGTACAATGCTGTTCTACTTTTATAGTTGAACATCAGAGCTTTCATTTGAGCCCCATTTGACCCTAAGTTCCCGGATATTTTACAATGATTTTATTATTTAAACTTTATAAGTCTGCATTTGAATCTTGATGCCGAAGGATTTTAGAAAACATTTTAAAAATCAGAAAAAAACTGGAATGTTTACTTCTGGAGAAAGATTGATAACATATTTGAAAAATTGTATTTTTTTTAAATTTTGAGCATTTTCTATAAATAATTTATAAACAATCAATTTTTTTTTCTACCGTAAAATGATGTTTAGAACCATACCAAATTTATTTACATTCAGAATTTTACCAGAAGTCGATTTCAAGTTTAAACAATTATTTATTTATAAACAACGAATATTAAAAAATAATTCTTACAAAATGTAATTTGACTAACGCTGAATATTCATCATTTTTTCAAATTTTCTCCCGCAATTTAATTAACAAATTTGATGATTGAAAACGGATGCATTTCTATATGAAAATGGACAGACTTGGATATCCTTAAGCACAATTTTTTAAAACTACCTTAAACTTGAAACATTCTCAAGTCTCGCAAAAGCTCGCCTGAACATATTGCTGACCGAAACAGTTTCCCCAATTTTCAACAGAGGCCAACGGGCTTCCCCTGCCCACCACCTGAAAAAAAAAATAACCCAACTAAATCCACCCCCAGGTGCCAGGTGAGGGTGAGCACAAGATAATGGACTACATCCGCTACATGAGGTCCCAGCCAGACCACGACCCCAACACCCGCCACTGTCTGTACGGTCTGGACGCAGACCTGATAATGCTCTCCCTCTGCACACACGAGCCGCACTTCGCAGTGCTCCGAGAGGAAGTGAAGTACGGTCGAAACCCCCAGAAGTCGAGCACACTCCCCGAAAAGACAAAATTCTGTCTCCTCCACGTCTCCCTCCTCCGCGAGTACATGGAGCACGAGTTCGAGTCCCTAAAGTCCTCCCTCCCCTTCCCCTTCGACCTAGAAAAAATAATAGACGACTGGATCCTGATGGGATTTCTGATCGGCAACGACTTCATTCCCCACCTGCCAAACCTCCACATAGCGAATGGAGCCCTCCCAGTGCTGTACCAAGCCTACATGGAGACCCTCCCAACCCTGGAGGGTTACATAAACGAGTCTGGAGCCCTGAACCTCCCTCGATTCGAGAAATTCATGGAGAAGCTCTCGAGCCTGGACGTGAAGCACTTTTCGGAGCACCAGGCAGACTTGAAGTACTTCGAGGGCAAGACAGGTCGTCGTGCAGCCGAAAACGATCGAACAATGAACAAAAAACCCAGCCCAGAGGACAATCCCCCGAAGAAGTCCTTCAAAAAGGACCTGGAGAACCTGATCCAGTCCACCGAGGAAATGCTCCTGGGCCACTCCGACGAGGAAGACGATCTCCTGGACACCGAGGACTCTGACAACGACACCTACACCCTGGAATTCCTCCAGCACAAGCAGGACTATTACCTGAAAAAATTCGACTACGAGAAAGTCGATGCTGACGTGATGAGACAACAGGCTGAGGCATACGTCACAGCCATCCAGTGGAATCTCCACTACTACTACAACGGCTGCTGCAGCTGGTCCTGGTACTACCCCCACCACTACGCCCCCTTCATCTCGGACATAAAGAATTTCAAGGATTTGAAATTTAATTTCGAGCTTGCAACGCCATTTCTCCCTTTTCAGCAGCTGTTGGCTGTGCTGCCAGCTGCCAGCAGAGGTCTTCTGCCTGAGGCTTACCAGGGGCTTCTGACGGAGGAGGAGTCACCCATCATTGATTATTACCCTGGGGAGTTTAAAACGGATCTCAATGAGAAGAAGCAGGAGTGGGAGGCCGTTGTGCTGATTCCCTTTATCGATGAGAAAAATCTTCTCGAGGCCATGGAGCCTTACAATGCTAAATTGACGCCTGAGGAGCAGAAGCGAAATCGTCACGGACCCATGAGCGTTATTACGTACACGGAGGCCAACCTGGGGGTGATAACGGCGCCAGCTTACTTTCCCACGATCGAGAGTCATGCGAGGATCACTCTGGTGGACCCCAAGGACATCGATGTCCCCAGGGAGAGGCTCAGGAAGGGGCTCATGGAGGGCGCCAAGCTGAGTGTGTACTTCCCAGGTTTTCCGACGCTCCAGTATCTCCAGCATGAGGCGAAGCCGGAGAAGGGCAAGGTCAAGGTGTTCGAGCAGCCGTCGAGGAATGAGAACATGATGATTACGATTTTGCCGAGGGAGACGCCTGGGATCAATCAACTGGCGAGCGATCTCCTGGGGAAAATTGTGTTCATCAAGTGGCCGCATCTGCTGGAGGCTCATGTCATTGGGGTCTCGGATGGCTCCAGGAAGTTCTCGTTGATCGATCCTGACAAGGGGTACAGTCCGGATAATGTGAAGAGGGAGGAACTCAAGGCACAGGGGCTGATTCAGTGGAGGGCAGAGGCTAGAGACGTCTCCATGGGATACAAAACCAGGTTTGAGATTTTGATTCTTCGTTTGGCGTAGGATGTTCAAACTCCACGTGAGGAAACGAAATTTGAAATGAATGAAAAGAAATTATTCGTCAGTGATTATTTTGTGGATTAATTCTCAGTTTGAGGAGAATGAAAGAATAATTCAATTCTTCCTAAAATTATTTTCTTACAGAATAGTTTAACCAGAAGTTGGACACTGACGATAATTTTCGCATTAGGCATAACATTTTTATTCATTTTTGTTATTTTTTATGATTTTTTCGGCATTTTTATTTTTTTCTAATCTCGAAAAATTGTTTTTCTCATAAGATGCTGTGCTATTTTGCCACTTGGTATTTAAATATTATCAGTAATACTAGACTGCCAATTGGACACGAACTCAGAATGTTTTTATTCACATCAACTTCCGTTTTGAATTTATTTCAGATTTTCGTCTGCAAAATTTAAGTTATGTTTATACTACTTTAAGTCCGCACTGAAATTTCAAAAGCATAGGGCCCTCTATTCATCGTTCTTATTCGTAGTACTTCTGTTTTAATGTGAGAAAATGAGAAATAATTAAGTTTTGATTTTTTGGTTTATCAGAAAGAGGCTTTAGAGGGATAAAATCTTTAAAAGGATCATCATGAGGCAACTCTCAACCGATTAACTCAAATTTTAGTTCTCACACATAATATTTATGTGTATCCAAACATAACTAAATGCGCTTTTTTAAAAACTTCTGTTTTTTAGTTTCCGAGTTTGTTTTCTCAAAATTGGCTGAAGTGAAAAATCGACAAAATAGTAATAATTAATCTACATCATAAATTTTTTAAGATTTTTCTAATCATTCATTCAGAATATAATGGAGAAAAACTATGACGAAAATCTAAAAAAATTCATACTTCAGTGACAATTTATTTCAATTTGAGCAAATTGTCTTTTTCTCATTTTTGAAAATTATCAATTGCATTCTATTTTGATGTCCTTGAAAAAAAAAGAGCAGGAAATTCAATTTTCACTATTTTTTCCATGTTCTGGATTAAAATAAGCTCTTAATGAGAATTAAGGTATTTGCAATAAAATCCTAACAATAATTCTGTAATCTTATCATTCTGTTAACTAGATTTGGAATAATCACTGGGGACATCGAGGCTCTAGTGCACGTGCGACCAATCACTGGTCGCAGGTACATCCTGACGTCCCAGGGTCGAATGTCCCTCCAGAAGGAATGGTGCAACATCCCCTCTTACTGCCCCTATCAATCAATCGTTCGTGATATCGCCGTCGAGGAGACCGGGAACATCTCCCACAAGAATATTTCCGAGATATACACCCCCAAGAGTGTCTGCTTCATGCTGGGGCACCCTCACTACGGGGCCATGGGAGAAGTGGTGGAGCCGGGGGTCAATCACAAGACTGGAAGGGTCAAGGTCGCCATGAATTTCACTCCAGAGCCTGAGTTCTCGGCTCTCAAACGAGAGCAGCACCAGATGAAGATGCAGTACATGCATGGCTCCATTGCTGCCCAGAGGCTGGGGATCAGTAGTCATCTGTTGAGTAGAATCACAGGTTCAATTTTTGTGCAGCCGAATTTCTCGGAGAACGAGAAGAAGCAACAGAATGTTGGGTAATGGATTGCAATGGATTTTTCAAACTCTTCTCACTATATTTTTAATTTCAAGTATTTCACAAATCAGTAGCGAAGTGATACAAAAGTCGATTTTGACTATTATGAGTTTTCAATGAATATCTTGAAATCCAAGAGAGATGGCAAGATTTTTGTCACAATCTTTTTTGTAGCTCTCGATTTACTCTACAAAAAAGCTCTCTACAAAAATTTCGTTATCTGTCTTAGATTTGGAGATATTCCTCGAAAACACAGCTAAGGGCTAAATCGACTTAAACTACTGAAATTTTTTATTTTGATTGATGATTAATTTTTATTATTTTGATGGAAGGTTACAGAATGACATAATTATACTTGGAAATCAGATTTTCGAAAATTAATTATCGTCTTGAGTAATGTATTTTAATTATCAATTAGTGATTGTTATTAATTGATGATTAACGAAATATTGAATAGTGATAAGTCATACCTTTGGAAATTTATACCTTTTAGAATTTCATTTTCCAAGAAATCTTTTAAAATCACCTTGACTCATCTCGTTTCATCAGTTAATTATTTAATTAATAACTAATTAACAACTAACTATGACCTTGACCCCTATGAGCCCTCAGAAGGGCCCCTTAAAGGGTCAAAATCCTCAGTCTCATTATTTTGGATTCATTTGATTTTCGACAAGTTAAATTCCTTCAGTACAAACTCCAGAAAATTCAATTTCCGTTTAAATTCCCCCAGACTGAACCTCAAATTCAACAAGAGGAACGAGGAGCTCCCCGGTTACACGAGGAAGGTGAGTGGCCAGTGGATGTACAGCTCCAAGTCAGTGGGACTCATCAGAGACTACATGGAGCAGTACCCGAAGCTCTTCGAGCGGCTCGTGGAGAACGTGGGAAACGACATCTTCAATGAAGACGATTTGTTCACGTCAGGAGGTGGTGATGTAATGGACGTCGTGAAGTGGCTGAAGGAGCAGCCCTTCAGGGCTGTTGAGAGTCGCAATTGCCACTACGAGGGGCTTGATCCTGACATTATTGCTCAGTTGCAGACAGAGATTGATGAGTTCGTGGAGAAGAATGAGAATAGTGCCAAGACTGTTATCATGCAAGTCAAGCCACACTTGTTATTCAAGCCTGGTATCAACAATGGAAATATACCACCCGATACGAGGGCTAAACATCGAGTGTTCGATAGAATAATATCGGTTAAGGAGAATTCGAGTGTTCCACTTGGGTACAAGGGGACTATTATCAATGTCCAGGGGGTGGAAGGAAACAGTGATAATGTTTATGATGTTTTGTTTGACAAGCCATTCATCGGGGGAATTTCTTTCACTGGTGGCGCCAACAGTCGCAGGGCCAAGCTCCATGCCGCTGAGTTTATTAACATCAGTCATGGGGTGAGGACTGAGCAGGATATCGCGGGAATTGTTAATGTCCCTGATAAGATCGTGAAGAAGAAGCAGGCCGGGGTGGATAGTGCTCAGAACAGTGCTTTTGCCTCGTTCAATTCACAGGGGAATTTCTTCCCTGTTTTTGGAAAGGGGAAGAGTCAGAATCACAGTCAGGGGCAGGGGCAGGTCTGGGTTATGAAGAAGAATCAGGCGCAGGGGGCGAAGAAGGAGGCGGAGAAGAGTGAGAAGAAGGAGGTGAAGGGACAGGCTGGGAGGAAGGCTGAGGCACATGTGGGGACTGAGCAGGGCAGGAAGAGTGAGGGGAATACTGAGTTCCAGATGCTGTGGAATGAACTGCAGAGAATTCCGGTAATTTATTTTGAATAGAAATTATCGATTGGGTGAAGGGAAAGGCATATTTAATTAATAATTCAAGGAGTTATTAACATTAGAACAAGTGGACAATTGCAGTTTTTTATCAATGAGTGCAGTTATTGGTGTTGATAAATTAGCAATTTGCTTCCGAATAGGTTCTTTTTTTTTAATTATTATTTCATTATTCTCTTCTTTTTTTTTAGGTCATAGTACTATCATCAATTGAAATGTCATCAAAATTTTGCGCATTATTTCGTTCTGTCAAATAATTCTACATTCAGACCCCCTCAAGAGTCGAATTCGTTTTCAGTCCGGGTTTAATCAAGGTTCAATCAAGGTTTAATCAGTGTATAGCCGGGATTTAATCAGGGTTTATTCAGGATTTAGCCAGAGTTTAACCCAGGTTCTGTCGGAAGTTAGTCGGGACCATGAATCAATACGAATAAGTATTCAACATAATAGACTAGTACCTGAGTTTAATAGAGATAGAAATTTTGATATAAAAAGCTCATGACGGTATTGTGTAACTCGATAAGCGATGATACTGTTCTCACCATTTTTCAACTTGATTAAGAAGGCATTGAAATATACTTTTCAAGCCCTGAATTTATGCTATTACTGATGATTCTTTCAGTAATCATGAAAAAAACCGATTTTCTCTTTCAAATCGCATAAACAATGTGCTGTAACTCAACATCGAATTGTGTGACCCCCATCATATTCTGATAGGATCAAGAGGGTATTGTTATCAATTTTTTGAGCCATGGCTAATGCCATTTCGACGACAATTTTTTGAGTGATCATTGAAAAATCGATTTTCCATTTTTTAAATCGATATTCTTGATTTTTTTTAGGAAAATATTTATTGCTGTTGTTTATAGGTACCTACGAGCAATACAAAGCTTCTGATACCACCATTCCCACAGATGAGGCCACCAATACCAACGGCACCAATCGCCTCTTGCATACCAGACGCGGTAAGTTCATAATTCTTCACCTGATTTATTGCATGGGATTATACAGCTGTGGGATATGAGATCGACGGTAATGGAAGTCATTAAATAACTCGTTAACATTCATTATTCTTTGCTGATTAATTTTATTTTTGGAGTTTCACTGGGTGGAACTTGACAATTCATCAGTGAAGGGGTGAATTGTCTCGTAATTTTGTATTTTATATGACAGTTAAAGTTTTGTACAGTAGATCTACAAAAAAGTTTAATGAAATTTCCATCTCTTTTCTCTTTTTGATCTTTCACTTGACGATTAAACAAATGTTAAATTGCTTTTGTCTTCATATATCGTAATAAATTAGCAATTTGCTTCCGAATGATCGTTTTGCACATCATATTTTTTATATCGTACATCATTTGTCGTTTTATACTATTTCGCTCAACTGAATTATATTTCTTCTTTAATTGTGTTAGATTTTTCGTGAAAATTCTTGTAAAAATCAAATGAAAGAATGATGCTATCTATATTATCTTGAAACTCCGACGAAGTGGCATTGAAACAATTTTTCTCAGCCACCATTCAATGAATGCAGAACATTTTTTAATTAAAAAAAAATTAGAAAATTCTAAAAATTAATATATTAGTTAAATTCAATTAATGTCGATGGGTAGGGCTCAATTACAATTGTAAGCAAAATTGATCTTCAACTGAAATTATTTGTCACCGCTTCACTCCTGAATCGCATGATTAATTAACGTAGACCACGTTTGTCTAATAAAATCGTCCCATTGTCTGTTGATACCTCAGCCACAAGATCCAAGCGCCTTCTTGAAGGCTGTCCTGAAGATACCAGACGACAAGGCCCGTGATCAATCAAAGCCACCAGCAACAAACCGAGTACCTTTCACATTCCCACCAACACCACCAGCTCCAACATCTAATGTCCCAACGTCGAATGCCCCGACACTGGTGCAACAGATGTTCGATGTATGTCTCATCAATTCATCCACTTTCTACTATCTAATTTTCCAAAAAATTGATCTTTTATTCATCTCCGTCTATCACTCAACTATTTTATTCACAATTGAGTACAACTGGACATCAGGTGTTTCATTCAATTTTTCCTAATAATTTTTTTTCGTCAAATTCATTATTCCCATTAATGATGAGTCATTTTCATTATTCTTATTATTTTAGTGGAGACGGGATATAGAATGTCATAATTATACTCAGCAATCTGTTACCGTATACTTTTTATCAACACGAAAAATGCATTATAATTGTCAGTTATAAATTGTTTGTTAATTGATGATTGACGAAATGGTGAATCGTGATGTTATACCTTTAATTGGGAATTTTGGTTTTATCTTGAGAATTAGCGGTTTGAGGGAAAAATGTTGAGACTTTTTTTTCGTGGAACTAATTCGATATTTGGATAGAAGTTGCCGAATTGTCGATGTGTTTCGTCAATTCCCCCTTTTCCGTTCCTTTACTCTTCCAAAAAATCTCATAAAATTACTTTTATTCCCTCAACTTTCTATCGCTCAACTATTGAATTCATAATTTAATATGACTCTGACCCCTGGGATCCTTTCATGTAATTGACTTTATCCACTTTGCTTTTCAGCATGCAAGGCAAGCGCGAAAAGAGAACATCTCCTACTGCGCTCGTCTGTTAAACCACTTCCAACTGATGGGCATTGGCATGCCCAGATACTTCTACAGTACCCAGAAGAACTTAGTTCACGCCCAGATAATCCTCCCAGACATGCGAACATTCTACGGTGACTTGTGTTCGAATCACGAGCTGGCAGCCGAGAGTGCAGCGAAGAAAGTCTACACTGAGTTGAACCTGGACAACGCACCAAAGCCTCGTCCCTACTTCGATCTACTGCCCCCAAATGCTTGGTTGAACGTCCAGCCCCCAGTGAATGTACAGCCCCCAGTGATGATGTCCCCCAGGTCATTCCCAGATGCCCAGAAGCCACCAGTGAGACCTCCAGCCAACTGGAACGTCAGAATGCCCCAGCAAGCCCCAGGCTTCACCCAGATGGCTCCTCCCAGGATGGGCCATCCCATTCCACCGTTAATATCACCGGGCACTTCGCAGGCGGAGGGAAAGCCTGAGGTCAAGCAGAGCGCACCCTTTGTGCCCCTTCAAGCTCAGAAGAAGACACGCTTACGTCATCCCAAGGACAAATCCCAGGAAACACCGCATTATGCCAAGGAACAAACCCCTCTCAAGCCACAGAAGGCCAAACCCAAAGAGAATTCTCCAAAGATACCCAGGGATGAGAAGGCTACGAAGGAGAATGAACAGAGCAAAGCGGGAAAGGACAATCCAACAGTTGCACAAAAGAGCTATAAGAATCCTAGGCAAAGGAGGTCGAGAATTGCTGCCAATTTTGGATCCTCCGCTGCTAATGGCAGTGATAAATAAATGTATCGATTTTGGGGTTTTTTGAGGATATGTTCGATGAATGAGTTTCTGGGGTTCTGGGGAGGGGGCAGTAATGAAGTGGTGAATTGGGATATGTTGTCTTTGTTTTTTTATTTCTTTTTGGAGCTGATTGTTATCGAGATTGTTTGGAGGGGAGTTGGAGAGCTATTTCTAGAAATTTATCTGCTAAATTTGGAATTTATCTCGATAATGAGGAACTCTGGAGAGAATTTCCAAACTCAATTTTTCTACATTTTTTTTTAATGACTCGTCATCAACATAATTTTGATATTCAACTAGAGGTGCAACATTCGAAATTGAGAAAGGACAATCGTGTATATTTTTTGTGCAGAATTGAATTTTTAGCAAAAATTGTCTTGAATGTTTTGTCGGAGCTCATTACTATCGAGATAATTGCATATTTCAATAGATGTTGAAAAGTTCAAAAAAATTTCAATTTCTAAAAAATTTCCACTTATCTCGATAACGAGTGATTCTCAATTTTTTTTCTACAAAGAATGTACATAAATTTTCGTAAAACACTCGTTATTAAGATGACTTTGTTATTCATCCAGAGGCGAAACGCTTGAAACTGAAAAAAATAGGGAGAATTTAGCATTCATCCCGATTATTCTGCAATTATCTCGATAATGAGTGACTCTAGAGGAAAATTTTTTTGTAAAGGATTAATCTCCTCAAAAATGTTCAATTAATAATTGATCTTTTTCTAAAATTCTTCATTGAGAAAAACAGTTCTAAAAATCTCGAGATACAAAAAAACGATCTCGCCACTTCACTACTAAATCAATCCCTGAAATCTCATGAAACTGTGCGTGTATCATCAGGTTTTTTTACAAATCAATGAAACGAATGAATTTTGTTTTGTTCTAAACGTCAGAATGGGTTTTCAATTGTGAATATTCTGATGGAAATTTTTTCCTGGCAGCTTTCACTCAATTGACCTCATTCAACCGAATAATTTTTACTTATGTTTTGATTTCCACCACTTTACGTGAGTATTTTGACACGACGTTTAGTATTATTGAGTTTTGATATTATTATTGAAAAGATGTAAATTACATTTTTTTTATTTATTCATACATCTTAGTTTCTGTGTCAAATCAAAGCTTGAATGTATGTGATAAAGATGATAAATTGTTTTTTTTCTCAGGATTCTTTCGTATTTTCTTACAAAAAGGAAGAAACTGTGTTTTTAACTGAAAATCACAATCATGTGCATATGATATTGACGAATGTAAATTTTCAAACTTCATGTGCTGCCAGTACTGATAAGAATTCAGAGTACGATTTAACAAATGTTTACATTGATTTGATGAATTTTGTAAAGAAATTAAAAGAAACATAGATAAATATGCTTTCTCATTTCATTTTGTAGAATCAGTGAAATACATTTGAATAGAACATGAATAAATAATCACAAAGTACAATTTTTCTAAATACTATTTATATTGTTTCTTCGTTTCTCTCATTTCAGAACACAGCCCACACTGTCAGATATTAAATTCAATTTCTCATGGACGTAATTGTCCTCAAATCAAATTTATTGTCAGACCCTTCGTGCTATTGATACATCAGCAACGATTAGAAAAGGAAAAATTAATTATCAAAAATTCTTCAGCATCGACAGATTTATTAATGAAAACCTTAAAGAAGCAGATCCAACATAAAACGTTGGTCATCATTTTTACTCATTAATTGATGCATTTTACAGCAGTTGAGTGAAATATCGAGACAGACATCATTTAAACACTTCATCGAATCCCTAAATTGCATCTGAATGTCGATAAGACCTTTTCAATGTGACAATTCACTCCCCTAATCTCGAGGAAATTGAGAAAGTAATGGAAGAGACAATTTACAAAAATTCCTATTGAAAATAGTTGCTTGACGTCTTTAAATTGTTAATTGAGATTTAAAAACTTGATGAGTAGAGAAGAATAATTTCCTCGGTAGTATCATGCAAAGCGGACAAGCGTATCCTAATCTCTCGATTTCATAAGACTAAAAAAATTAACTCTAGGTATTATCTACAATCCTATCACAGGCTTTTGACACTGCAAGCTGAATTTCTGGAGTGTCTCGAATAATCGTTTGTTGTTTCGTTCCCTAAGAACATTTCTCGTGAAATCCTCCTTCTGTCCTGGTGTCGTCAGTGCTGTTGAATCCTCGACAGCCAGTCTCAGCCATTGTCCAGTGAGCTCCCCAAAACTACTGTTCAGGGTCAACAGAACACGTGCGTGAGACTCTAGATTCGTTTTTGGTATCCTTCCACCTTGAATGAATAAATAATGCGTTTTTTAAATTCAATAAATTACTCAATAAATTAGAATAAATTTTTAAATGCAGATGCAAATTTATATTTAGAATGCAATGAAGATAAGATCGAAAACGAGATATTAAATTATTGGGGGGAATTAATTAATGAATAATTAATTCAGTAACGAAACGGTAAAACGGTTTGAGTCACCTTAGCTTGAGTTTTTGAGGAATACCTCCGAATCTAAGGGAGATAGCGAAATTTTCGTAATCACCTTTTTTGTAGAGCGAATCGAGAGCTACAAAAAAGGTCATAACAAAAATTTTGCTATCTGCCTTAGACTCCGAGATATTAATTGAAAACTGACCGATAGTCAAAAACTATTTGAATCGTTTTACCGCTTCGCTGCTGAATTATTTAATAGGTTTTTGTGGGGCTGAGGGGGGTTTTGCGTGGTTCCACATGTTCTTACCGACACAATGTAAAATCATGCAGACGAGCTCCTGTCCAACCATTGATACAAATGAATTCAAATGTCTGCTGTTTACAGCGTGAGATAGAAACGTTCCTGCTGCTTTGATAACTCCGTTCTCTGGTAATCCTAATCCACTAATGCCTGAAATTAAGAATAATCAACATGAATTATGATTTATAAAGTCAATTGTCATTCGTAATTATCAAACATTCAATGCAAAAAAACTAAATTAACAAATTAATTGACAAAAAAAAAACTTTTTGTATTACAAAAATTCTAATTTCTATTTTAAAATGTTTTAAGTAATATTTTAGTAATTTGGAGGTGGCAAAATTCAACAATTCAACTTACACGTCTCATTAAAAATTGAGAATACCCAAGTATCCTTGCAGTTGCAACGTTAATCAAATTACATTTCCCAAGAGATTGAACTTTCTATCAAAAATTTTCGTTTCGATGAATAAATCGAAGATATTATTGAATTTTTGGAGAACTCATTTTCTAAAAATATCTTCCAACGCTTCAAAATGGAATTTTGAATTCAGTTCGTCGCTCTTTAAATAATAAAATCATTGCAAAATGAACTTAACATTTGGGTCGAATCTTAAGACTTCAACAGTTGCGAAAGCCTCTCAAAAACCATAAAAAATGATGAAAATATGAGTTACATAAATCGAAGTTATTCTAAGAGAAACCATAATTCTCAAAAAAGTCTCTTTCTCAAAAAACAAATGTAAACCCACCACATCGAAGCATATCAGGCACCTGTTCCGGCACCTGCAGCATGAGCATAGGTGTCTTCTTGCAGACCTGCGCCAGCAGTCCCAAATAGGACTCCAGCAAGTCCGACAACTCCGAGAGATTCCCCCCGGCGGCCTCGCAAGCCTTGAACCCCCTCAAGCTGTGCCCACTGATCTCCCCAAAGATCGTTCCAATCCCATTCTTCACATCGCCCCCGCAGAGGAGCACCATCTGCCTGAGCAATCCCAGCGCAGCAGGATGTGGCCTGACCTTGTACGAATTCACAAGAATAGGAAGCAGAGGCCTGGCCTCACTCTCCGGATGCAGAAGACACTGCAGAGACTTCTGTGCACAGGTGTGCATGGCCTCGAGAATGAGATCATCCTGTCCCCACTCGGCATGGCCAACGATCTGATTGAAAATGGGCACGAGTCCATCGAGAACAGACTTGCCAATGGCGCCCTCCAGAGTCGACAGGAACATCGTGATCATCTTGAGCTGATTGGCAACAGCGATTCTCCCAGTGTTGAGGGGATGCCTGAGGAACTCCTGGAGTCTAACGACGCAGAGGCCGAGAGTGGCGTCGAGGTACTTCAGCTGTTCCTCAGTGGTTGAGAGGGAATTGAGGAGTTTGCCAGCTGCATACATGAGCCTGAGGCCCTCGCCCCCGCCTGGGGGCACTACAGGAAGTGTCCTTGAGATGGTCTCCAGGATGGAGGGGGCCAGAGGGGCCAGGTGGGGGCCCCCCTCCCTGGAGATGTCCTTCAGGGCCATGGAGGCAGGGGTCGAGGCGACGGAGCCCTGGGTCAGCCCTAGGGTCACCAGCTGCAGAGACCTCTCCAGCCAGGGGTCCGGATTCTCCCCGATCCACTCGGCGTAGGCTCCGATGGTCGAGCAGGCACTCGCCAGTACCTCCCTAGGGTAGTTCTGGTAGGGTATGTGCAGGAGGACTAGGTCTATCAGCGCTGGGACGTACTCGGTCTCCTGCGTTCCCACGCTGTCGCAGAGGGCTTGGAATGCGTGGAGGGTCGACTCCACGTCCGTCCACTTCTGATTGTCGATGTCAGGTCGCGTCAATCTTCGCCCCAGGAGGATCAGCAACTCGTGGCCGAGGATGTTGTAGCAGTAGGTGAGGGTGTCCGCTGCGTCCTGGCGGTAGCATCGCAGGAGCTCACGCTCGTCGGCGTCGCCTGCCTCGTCGGGGCACGAGGGGAGAGTTGCTTTGCGCAGTAATGCTTGAACTAGCCGCGCGTAGATTGGTTTCAGGGCGTTACGCGCTCGGTCTTCTATTGGGGGGTCCAGCGTCGTCACCGTGTCCTGGAGGGAGTACCTGAGGCAATGGCGGGGGGACAAGGGGAATTTCGAATGAGAAAAACGAAATGAAATAGAATTTTTAGAGAACTATATTGTCTATTTCCAAATTTGGAAATCTGACATTTTAGGTAATTGATAATTTTGGGGTTTTGTGGTATCACTGCGGAATATTTATGAAAATAATTTGTTAATAACGCGAATGGAAAGCTAAGGGAAATTTTTCGTTGTTGAAAATTTGGGGATTTTTTACTTTGAATTCTTCTGTTGGAATTTTTCTGTTGAGTTTAATGAAAATGTTTTAATTGTGTAAAGTGAAGAATTAATTCGGAGAATAAAAAGGATATTCAATTGAGGTGAATAAAAATGGAAATAAAAATCATGTTTGAGTTTAAATAAAAGCCCTAACATGCGAAGTAGCTGTGTGACAAGGGTAAAAGAGGAAATCCAGATGAGAAAGACGAAATGAAGTGAAAAAAACGAGGGGAATTTTGCAGAGAAATCTAATAAAATCGAATTTCTAGACCTGAAAATTTGACATTTTGCTTAATCGATAATTTTGGAATTTTTGTGGTATTATGTACTACTGAATAGTGAAGAAAACGATTGACTTGTTAATAACGCACATCGATATCTAATGGACATTTTTCGTTGCTAAAAATTTGAAGATTTTTGACTTTGAACTTACATTTAGAATTTTTCTATTGATTTCAATGAAAATGTTTCAATTTTGTGGAGTAAATAATTCATTCATTGATAGTGAATTCTCTATTAGAACTCGAAAAATATTCAATTGATGTGAATAAAAATGCAAATAACAATCAAGTTTGAGTTTAACCGAGGGAGTTTTTATCTAGTTTAATTATGAATTCTCGTGCAGCGATATTACTTGATCATTACTTTGTAATGATTTGATCCTGTAATTGGCTTTATTCACTTAACTAAGAAATCACCAAAATAAATAACTAAAATAAACAATTTCCCAGAAAATATACATACCAAAAACCAAAGGGAATGCAGCTCTTCCTCTCCTCAATAGGATACCGTCCGGGTAGTTCAGAGCACTCCAACAGCATCTTGATCAAGGTCTCTGAAGTCCACCTGTGTCCATCATCGTCATCCTCAGTAAGCGACAGCAAAACGAACCGACTATGAGTATCCCCGAGAGAAGTGAGCAGCTCTGAGAACTGAATGCCCCCCTTCTGCTCAGCAACAGTGACGAGTCCCCTGGCCCACTCCCAAAGCAACTGCGGCCGTTTCGGCAGTTCCGAATGAGAGATAGCAATGATGAGCCACTCTTGGACGAGCTCCCAGCCCCTGGCATCCTCGATGGCGTCCTCAGTCGTGGGGACATAGTGGGAGGCAGCAGCCACGAAGTGCGGATACAGCTCCACGAGACTGTCGACAGGCAGTTGCCCAAGCTTGAGCCAAGCCAGGGCGCACTCAATGGACAAGAGGTAGATGGAGTCATCCGAGGACTGGGAGAGAGTCCTCTCGTACGTGGAGAAGACCTGTTGCAGGAGCCAGGAGGTCTTGCACCAGCTGGCGATCAGGGTGTCCCTCAGCTTCGGCCTCTTGAGGCCACATCTCCTCTCGAATTCTCGTGGCAATGCTATCAGCACCCTCAGGAGCAGGTCCAGGGTGTCCTGGGAGTTGTAGGGAAACATCTGGATGAGGTCGTCTATCATCCCCTCGTTCTCGTTCTTCCCCTCGAGGCCGTCACTGCTGGCCAGAAATGCCGCCAGTGCCTGGCACAATCGAGCCAACACCAGCTTCGATGTTGTTGAGTTCTTCATCAAACTCAGAATGCGATTTCTCAGGTCGTTGTAATCGGAGACTGGCACTTCGTTCCATTGTTTGGAGATTTTTGCGTGGAGCGTTGTTGCTGCGAAAAACTGAACCTCCCAGGGGCGCGAGGGCTCCAGGAGCGGCCAGACGTGCGTCCAGGCCTCGTGGGAGGCCTGGAACTGCAGCAGCCAGAGGTGCGCGTCGTTCGCACCTGCTGAGTAGAAACGACGGACTGCGTCCTCCACTGCTGTTGAGTAGTCCATTGCTCGGGGATTGGGGTTTTATTATTGTTGGGTTAACCTATAAGGTGGAGGGATACTGGGGGTTTAGTAAGCTGGGGGCGGTGAGAGGGTGAGGGGCGACACTGGCGGCGAGGGGGGGCCGAGGGGTGACACTGACATTTCACTGGGGCAGAAATTTCGAGGGATTTTTTGAGGGATTTCTTTTGGGAGAGCTTTGAAGTTCGACGAGAGCGAATGGGGGTCGGTGATCCACTGGCACTGACACCCAGGGACATGTGGTCGCCATCTTGGGGGGGG